GCGCTGCACCTTCTGCCTGGAGACCCTCTCCTCTTCTGTCTCTCTACCCTCCTCTTCTTTGCTAACCCCTCCATATCCTTCAGCACCGAGCTTGGGATGCACCTTCTCGCCTGTGTGCTCCCACAGCTGCTTCCTGTCAGGACACGTACCCCAACATATGGCACTTCCCTGTTTACTTGTCCCTCCACTGCCCACTTGGTTGTAAACTACTTCATGGTAGAGCATCTGGAATTTGAAGAATGGATACATAAATATATATCAAAAGAGCAAGGCAGGTAGGGATCTGTGGCTTCTCTACAAATTCATGACTTAAAAGTCCAAGTAATTTTCACTTTCCTCCCAATTCACATGTCTTTACTCTGCTTATTTGATGCTGCCTAATTTTCACAGGTTGAGATCCCTGGAAAACAGACTTTGAAAGGGAGTGTGTGCAGGAAGTCTACTGGGGAATGCTCTTGGGAACACCCATGGGAGGAAAGGGGCCATGGGACGGGCAGAGGAAGTTAGAGGGTGATGCAGCTGCGACAGAAGCCTTCATCAACCCAAGAGAAGTCTGGGAAGACCTCTCAGACATGTCTCCCACTGAAGCAAGGTGGCCGGGCCTGTGAACCCATCTCCTTTTCTCTCCCCGCTCCACGCCCCCAGGCCCCTGGATTAGAGATGGGATGCTCCAGGGAGGGGACAGAAACTTGGGTGCTAAAGGGGGCTTAGGGTAGTTCCTAGGGAGGACAGCCATCAGCAGGGGACACTCTTGGCAGCTGGGGGAACGAGTGTCTGCTGTGAATGGGAATCTGGGTGGCGCACCACAGCGTCCACTACCATAATAAGAAGACTTCTCTTTCTCTTCTGCTTTCATATGAATAGGAATATCAAGGAGCTGGCAGATAAGAGGTATTTATCAAATATTCTTTCCTTCTCTGCTTAACTTATTCCCTGGGTGGTTTTTTAGATTCTGGAATATTCAGACACACTCAGGACACTGCTGCCTTCCAACAATTTCATATCACTAATATAAGCTAACATTGAGTAAGTAATTACCTGCTCCTGTCACTGGGATAGGTGTGTTATTGCATTTAATCCCCATAACCACCTTAGATAGGTGCTATTATTTCCCCCTGTTTATGGAGAAAGCTGAGACTCAGATTAAATGACTCGTTCAAGGCTGAATTGTGTCCTCCACAAAATTCATGTTGAAGTCCTAACCCCCATGGCCTCAGTTGCATTTGGAGATAGAGTCTTTAAAGAGGTAATTAGGGCCGGCCTTGTGGCTTAGTGGTTAAGTGCGCACGCTCCGCTGCTGGCAGCCCGGGTTCGGATCCCGGGCGCGCACCGACACACTGCTTCTCTGGCCATGCTGAGGCCGCGTCCCACATACAGCAACTAGAGGGATGTGCAGCTATGACATACAACTATCTACTGGGACTTTGGGGGGAAAGTAAATAAATAAATATAATTATAAAGAGGTAATTAAGTTAAAATGAGGTTATTAGGGTGGGCCCTAATAATTAAGCCACAGACATGCAGAGAGGGAAGACCATGTGAAGACACAGGGAGATGACGGCCATCTACAAGCCAAGGAGAGAGGCCTCAGAAGAAACCAACCCTACCAACACTTTGATCTCAGACTTCTAGCCTCTAGAATTGTAAGAAAACAAATTTCTGTTTAAGCCACCCAGTCTGTGGTATTTTGTTTGGGCAGCCCTAGCAAACTCATACACAAGGTCATTACAACTGCTAAGTACTGAATTTTGGGGTTTGTACTGGCTGCCTGCCTCAAGACTCCACACACCATTGCTAAACTGACCACTGCTGCTGAGACGGGTTCTGCCAACCATAACACAGTGTGCTGGCAGGGTGGGGCCTGGACAGTGCAGACTGCTGCTCAACAGGTATCCTCTGAACAGAACAGAAGATGCTCCAACCTTTTTAAGATGTTCTAGGAAAAAACTGTTGCACTCTCTCCATGTCACCCAATCCCCCAGTCTGCTTTCTCAGGGGCAGTTTCTGAAGGGGCTGCCCTCCTCAGTGGCCACACCCTAAAGAGCACAGTGCAAGGGAAACCTGGCAGCAGGAAGATGGGACAGGGAGAGGCTCCTGCCAGATCAAATGCCCAAACTCCCTGGCTCAGTCTGTGAGTCCCTTCCTCTAAGAGTCCTCATCTCCACTCCAGACAGGGCTTCTTGCTTCTTGTCTCTCCCTACTGAGATTCTCCTGGTGGAGCCCAAGAAATAGACATCAGGGAAAATGACTCACCTGAAATTCTGAGACCTTATAAATGAAACTTTTCTAACTGCAATTATTCCACGATCTTGGTTTCATTATATTAAAAGACTTGGCTCATGATCCCTGAAGAGGGGTCCAGGAATTGACTCAAGTTTGCTAAAACATAATCTTTTTCTCTTTCTGTAGGTATAAAAGTGCCTCGCTCACACCTTTTGATGGGAGAGCTTTTCCTAGATCTATAATGGAATAAAGAAGAAGCTCTGTACCTGTTAGGTAGAGGACAATCTTTTGTCTGTATTTCTTACCAACCCCAGTGGTCTCTGCCCTTAAGGTACCTGGGTACCCACTTCCTCCAGCCCAGGTCGCCAGTGTCCAGTACAGTGAATCTGCTGTGGAATCTCCATCAAGGTGTTTATATGGCATCCCTAGGTTGTCCAGCAGCTCCCTGACACCAGGTACAGTCTGTTTCTTCCTCTTTCTCCTGCTGTTGACCAAAGACCACACTCTTGTCAGCAGGTACAAGTTCATTTGTTTATTCAGCTGCACAGCTGGGGGGCCTCCTGCTATCAGTGAATTCCAAAATGCACATGTGAGCAACGCACTCGTACACACAGAACAGGACCAGATTATGATTACACAAGTATGGCACCTTCAACTCCCAGGACCCCCTCAAGGATAATGAACCAGTTCCTGTAAACCAAGCACACAGAACCTCTGTTGTTGGAATAGATTCTTTTGTACTAACAAAGTCAAAACAGATGGTTTCAGGTCAACATTTTGCCTACAAAATATTTTTCTGGTTTCAGCTCTTCTCAGAGTGCCAAATACAGGGCCCTGCAGCCAGAATGATGGCTATTTCCGGAGTGACCACCACCAAGGCCAGAGCTCTAACCCACACCCTTGACCTCTTGTCCTCAGCGTGTTTCCCAGATCCTGCTCTGCCCTCTTTCCAGGACCAGGACTCTCCTTCCCCGGTCAATTGGCAGCACCAGGTGGCAGAAGTGGGGAGATGTCCCATGGGGTGGAGCACTGCTCTCTGTCTTCCCAAATCTGTTCTCTCCTTCTCCATAGCAATACAATTTCATTGGGCAAATGGCCATCCTGCTGGAGGTGTTTCCCAGCCTCCCTGGAAGACAGATGTGGGGGTGTAATCGAGTTTTCACCAAAGGACGGGGCACCTTCCAGGACACCTGCTGAAAAGAAACTGTTTGTCCTTGCGCTCATTACTTTGCTTCCTGTGACCTGGAATATAGGTATGGGAATGATCCTGCTTCCACCATGTGGACAAAAGCATCCTAGCCCAGGGGATGGAGGAGAAAGATGGAAAGTACATGGGCTCCTGAAGCATCAGGTGAAAGTAAACTGAGCGGCCCCTTACCAGGGCTTCACAAACGTTTTCTGTAAAGGGCCAGATAGTAACCATTTTAGGGTTTGCAGGCCACATACAGTCTCTGTCACTTTTTTTTTTCCTGCTTTTTATAACAATTAAAAAATGTACAGACGATTCTTAGCTGTGGTCTATAAAAAAACAGGCCATGAGCTGGATTTGGGTTTGGCCTGTGGGCTGTAGTTTGCTGACCAGCTATTTACCTCTGGACATTTATGTGAGAGAGAAATAAAGCTTGTAAGAGTCAGGGAAGGCTCCTCTAAAGAGGTGACATTGAAGTAGAGATCTAGAGAAAGCAAGGGGTGACTTATGTAACCATCTGGGGGGAAAGCACGGAGGCAGGGAGATGGAGAACAAGGACAGAGGTCCTGAGGTGGCAATGCGCTTGTAACATGGGCCAGTCAGCAATTGATTGCCTCCTAACTCCAAACCTGCCATCCTCTGCCCCACTTGATGATACTGGAGCTGGACCTGTAAACATCTTCCCTTTGCCAGCTGGCACAGTGTTAGGCTCTGCCAGTAAAGGGCACTGGAGGGACAAAGCAAAGAGGAAGGGCCTTTTCCTTCTGGTTCTGGTAGTTTTTCCTTGTTTCTCCAGTGCAGCACCACCACATCCTCTGCTGAGTTCGCTGGCACCTCAACCAGAAGTTTTCTGCTTTGGCCTGTGGCCCCTCGGGGAACTTCACCATCCAGTGGGCTGTAGCCAGTCTGGTACTGGTACATATTTAACAACTAGTTCAAAAAGAAAAAAAAAGCCCTGATTTGTAGTATTCACTGACTCCCATGCTATGAATACTCACACCATGACCAATTTCAATGCAGGGTTGGGAAGAGACATGCAAAACTGGCCCTTGCAAGCCTGTACAGACCAGCTCTAGCACACCACTGGAACAGCACACCCTGTCCAGTCAGGGCTGAATTTCAGTCTTGGCCGGGGGCCCCTCTTCTGTTTGCTTCTTCCTTGGGTCTCTCTCAGCCCTAGAAGCAGTAGCTGTTCCCCATGAAGCTATTCCTATATTCTTTAAGATGTCTCTACCTCCTTTAGCAGACAATCCTCTTTTAGTAGTTAATACTTCTTTATATTAAACTTTCGCTGTTCAAATGACTAGTGTGGATTATTTTATGCCTGGACACTTGAAGATGTGACCCTGTCCAGAGAGGCAGACCAGTGTGGGTGAGAGAAAGGGCCAGCACCAAAGAGCCATTCACAATAATACTGATATAAAAACTATCACTGCCTGAGCAGCGGCTCTGTGTCAGGCCCAGAACCCTAATGAAGCAGGCATTTTGGCTATTACTCGCAGGAGAAGGCATCCTGATACAGCCATCTTAATCAGCAGACATGAAGTGATGATCTGCAGGTAGGAACAGGTAAACAGTTTCTCCTAAATCAAGAAAGACACAGGAAAACCCTTAAGGTGCTTATAACTTTTATGGAATCTAGTCCTAAAATTGATTAGACAAAAGTACAATTCTGTCCGGGGACTTCCTCACCTTCCGAACACTGGGAAGGCTCTTTTCTGGCATGAACCCTCTGATGTCTAATAAGCTCTGAACTCCACCTGTAGGCTTTCCCACATTCTTTACACATAAAAGGTTTCTCTCCACTGTGAATTCTCAGATGGTGACTTAGATATGAGCTTTGACTGAGGGCCTTCCCACACTCATTACAATTATAGGCCTTGTCTCCTGAATGAATCCTCTGATGCTGAACAAGATGAGCACTCCACCTGAAGGACTTCCCACATTCATGACACTCATAGGGTTTCTACCCTGTGTGAATTCTCTGATGCTGAATGAGGTTTGAGCTCTGATTAAAAGTTTTCCCACAGTCGCTACACTTACAGGGTTTCTCTCCAGAATGAATTCTCTGGTGGGTTATAAGATGTGAGTTATAAATGAGGGCTTTACCACATTCACTACATTCACGGTCTTTCTTCTCTGTTGGAGTTTTCTTATGGGTGACAACCATCTGCCTGGAACTTTTCCCCTGGGCAGGGGACCGCCTCAGTCTCTCCACTTTGGGATTTCTCTGCTGCTGCTCTAAAGTGCCCTCAACTGCAGAGGTAGATTCAAATGTAGAGGCGCCGGTGGCGAGTTTTTCTGAGACCACCTGTGATTCCACGTCACCAATGGGCGGTTGTGGCGATGATCCTTTGTCCTCGGGCTCCGGGTCATCTTCTGCAACAACCGATGGAAAATGTAAATATACCTGTTCTGGATGTACGGAGAAATGACACTTGGATTAGGATTTATATTTCTGGCATGAAAATAAAAGCTTAAAAAATATTCAACATACACACAACAAAGTCTAGAAGGGTATTTTCTTTGTGAGGAGATCAGCCCTCTGCTAACATCTGCCAATCCTCCTCTTTTTTTTTTTGCTGAGGAAGACTGGCCCTGGGCTAACATCCGTGCCCACCTTCCTCCACTTTATATGGGACACCGCCACAGCATGGCTCGCCAAGCAGTGCGTCGGTGCGCACCCGGGATCCAAACCGGCGAACCCCAGGCCGCCGCAGTGGAGCGCGTGCACTTAACCGCTTGCGCCACGGGGCCGGCCTCCCAGGTGTTTTCTTAAATACGAACAATGGTTATCTCTTGGTGATGGGACTGTGCGGGGAAGGGTGTTTCTTCTTTTTTCTTTTCCTCCTGTTTTTTCTAATTATTCCTTAATGGAACACTGCAAAAATGTTATTTGAAAAATAAAATAAGTTTCAAAGCAGAATCTTCTTTTTAAGATTTACTCTTTAAAACTATGAGAAAAAATAATATTTTCAAGAAATTGGGGAGTGGTCAACTGACGTTGTGAGGGAAGGGAAAAACAAGAAAGAAGAATCACAGGGTTAGGGAAAGGATGTTCCTAAAGACAGACTCACTCTGCCCCTCCTGACTCTGCACCCTGCACCTCTTCCCATTGATTCCAGCCCCATAAATCTACAGCTGCTGCAAAAGATCCCCAAGCGGCCGTCTCCTTTACTGAAGGAACTGCAGTTCCGTGCCTCCCTGCTTGGTGCTCTCTGCCTTTCCCTTTGACCTGCTCCTTAAAAAAGGAAGAGAAGAGTGCTCTGCCTTTTTGTTTTTAAAGGTCTGTAACACTTTTTATTTATTTATTTATTTATTTTCTCCCCAAAGCCCCAGTAGATAGTTGTATGTCATAGCTGCACATCCTTCTAGTTGCTGTATGTGGGATGCAGCCTCAGCATGGCCGGAGAAGCGGTGCGTCGTGTGTGCCCGGGATCGGAACCCGGGCCGCCAGCAGCAGAGTGCGCGCACTTAACCGCTAAGCCATGGGGCCGGCCCTGTAAGACTTTTTGTGTTTTAATTATCTGTAACACTCCCTATAGTCTAAAGAGGACAAAAAGCAATTGCTTTAAGACAACTCAAGAACATTTGATTTAAAAAACGCTTTTTGTTTTTTCAGGTTAAAAGCTTGTGGTGAAAGAAATCTGCAACATGCTTGCTGGAAAAAAAATCAAACGATAGCTAGCTTCTTTTTAAAAGTATCAAGTTGATAAATGAATAGAGACTTACTAAAGAGAAGTAAAGGAGACAAGAAAAAGTCTGGAAGATAGGCAAGGAAGTGCCAGGAAATAAAAACATACTTTTGGAATAGACTCTAAGATTAATCTCCGTTTCTAGTTTTTCCCTCTTTGTTGCTAACAAGAATTTGATTTTTCAGATGCTGGTGATTGGTGATGGGGTTGTGGTGTAAAACCAATATTAAATAGAATCTTCTTGGGCCGGCCCCGTGGCTTAGCAGTCAAGTGCGCGCACTCCACTACTGGCGGCCTGGGTTAGGATCCCGGGCATGCACCGACGCACCGTTTCTCCGGCCATGCTGAGGCCGCGTCCCACATACAGCAACTAGAAGGATGTGCAGCTATGACATACAACTATCTACTGGGGCTTGGGGGGGCGGTAAAAAAAAAAGGAGAAGGATTGGCAATAGATGTTAGCTCAGAGCTGGTCTTCCTCAGCAAAAAGAGAAGGATTAGCATGGATGTTAGCTCAGGTCTGATCTTCCTCACAAAAAAAAAAAAAGAATCTTCTTGATTAGCAACATATCTACCTTACGTTACGATGGATCATGACGTTCCAGAGGTGAGCGGGGACAGTTCACAGTCCTGCGGCTCTAAGTCCAGAGTACGCCACAGGGAGAGGGGAGAGGACGTCTGTGAGGATCCTCACAGAGGATCTATGCAGGCCGGGAGGGAAGTTTTTGCAGTAAATTTGAAGGGTAGAAGGTAAGTGCTGACATAAGGGAGTTTCAAACAGGGCTTTCAGATAGGGGTAGGTGGTAGATAGAGGTGATGACAGGCTGTAATCACATAGGAGTTGCTTTACAGCTTCAAGTGTGTTTTGGGCGGCATGGGGAAGTTAGAAGAGGAAGGACCCCAGGCTGGCCTCCAGCTCAGGGCAGAGGTATTATGAACTAGAAGGAGTCAAGAGCAGTGGAGATGATGAGGCAGGAAGTGAATGAGACATTTCCTGGTCCTGTTTTAGGGCTCTCTAAAGCTAGGAGATGCTGGTGAGGCTTTATAGCTGGATATAAGTTTTATTTAATCTTCAGAGCTACCTTATGAGGTAGATTATTATTATTCCTAATTTCACAGGTGATGAAACCGGCTAAGTCTCTCAGCTAACAGGTAAGAATAATAAGGCCAGGATGATGACGGCCAACTTCTGAGCACCGGCTGTGTGCCCTTCCTACTCCCTCTTCCTCCTCTCTCTCCCCACAGAATCCTGCTCCTCACCACTCTCTGGGAAAGGCTGGGTCTCCTGAGATTCACACTTAAGCTGAGTCGCCTTAGGCTGGAGCTGGATGCTCCGTGCCTCCTGGGCTGCTCCCAGAGGTGCCTTCTCCTCCCGTGGCTCTTCCTGTGCAAGTTCACGTGCAGGGCCTGGGACCTGGAGGTGATCAGGCACCACTCGGTTTATGTAGGACCAAAGCTCCCAAGGAGACTTTAGAGAGCCTCCTCAGAGTCAGCACAGGGGAAGGAAGAGGAGCTAGAGTCTCATTCGGGCTTGAGGGCAGAAGAGACAGAGACAGAAACACACGCTAACTGCTCTACCTGGCCTGAGTGAGGTCTGAACTTGGCCACTCCCCCTGCTGCTGCCCCTCTGTCCAGCCTGAAGGTCCCTGATCGGGCTCCCACAACAGATCACATTTCCCCTTCCCACCTGCAGTCTCGGTTCATCAAGTCCTTTCTCTGAATCCTCCGACACAGTCACAGCCCCCTCTCCACTCTTAGGGTGATGTCCCTGCACCCAGGATTGGAGCTCCTCAGGCAGGATGGTCAGGAATTGTTCCAGCACCAGTAACTCCAGGATCTGCTCCTTGGTGTGCCTTTCGGGCCTCAGCCACTCACAGCAGAGCACCCGGAGTTGGCTCAGGGCCTCCTGGGGACCAGGAGTCTCCTGGTAGCAGAGCTGCCTGAAGCGTTGGCGGAAGATCTCTTGACTGGGAGAGTGGTGCCCATGTAGCCTGGTCTCGTACTCCCGAGCCTGTTCCTCTTCCTTTGGCTCCATCATCACAATCTTCTCTTGATCCTGTGTACCCTGAAGGGCCAGAAGGTTTGCTGCTGTTAGTGATACAGCCATCCTAGCCTGGACTAGCTCTGCAGAAGGCCCATACCAGCTGGAGGCTTTCAGGGGTACCCTGTAACACAAGAAATCATTCTTCTTTTTTTTCATTCATTAAACATACACTCAGCATCTACAAAGAGCCAAACTCTGTACTATACCCTTTCATCCTTTTCCTCCCCAGAATCCTATTCCACTAAGAGTCACTGCCTTTGAGAAACTTGCAATCTGGTAGACAGATATGTAAAGTGTTTTCTACAGTACCACTAGATAAATGCTACAGCAGGAAACAAATAGCAGAAAAAGAAGTGTTCTGGGAGTCCACAGGAAGAAACAAGTTTGAAGCAAAACCCCAGTTTCCAGATTTAGAGCCTAGCGGCGAACAGCTTTCAGTGCAAGTGACTTGCCTGTTTTCAATTATTGATTCTCTCAAAGGTATTGGAGAGGCAGCCTCCTCCCAAATGACCCCCACCACCTTTTCTCAAATTTCTGTTGCGGCCGCAGCAAAAATATATATATATATTTAAATTCCTTCTAAGGGGTTAGATCTTATTCAAAAGCCCAGGAGCTGTAGCAGCGTCCTGTTACAGCTGCTATGAGCAAGACTTCTCTCGAGTACGGTGTCCAGCGTTCGGATTATCTAAGAGGGAAGGAGGTGGGACGCGCCCAGAAGCCAGGAAAGCGCACAAACGGGCCGCTGGCCGAGGACAAAGCAGGCGCGGACGACCACCGCAGCAGCCTGTCTGTCAGGGTGCCGCCCGGCGGCACCAGCCCCAGCTCCACGTCTACGCACGGCCTCGGGCAGGTGCCCACCCGATAGCCCCGGGGACGGGGCTGCAGTCCGGGCCAGTTACAATTCCCCACTCTGCCGTTCACTTTCCCCCCGGGATCTCGAGAAGCGAGAAGAGGGGCACCGGCCCCCCACGCCCTCCACACCACATGCCATAACGCGCGCAGCGGAGCGCGGGGACCGCGGGGACCCGGACCCCTCTCCGCGGGCACACGCGCAGCTCTGGCCTCGGCTCCTCCCAGGGCTGCCCGCCGGCTGTGCTCTCCGCAGAACCCGCCGCCGCCCTCCGGGAGCACAGCCGGCAGCCGCCGCTGAGGCGCACCTCGCGGGATCCCGGGGGCCCATCCGGTCCCTCCCGCGCAGCCGTGCCGGGAGGTGTGCGCCTGCGCAGCCGCGGCCGCCGCCTCCACCGCCTAGAGGCCTCCCGGCGCCGTCTTTCTGCCGGCCCGCGGTCACCACGCGAGGCCGGAGAGCGCGAGCCTGGCCGGAGCCGGACGGCAGCGGCAGGACGCGAGCGCTCCGCTGAGCACAGCGACCTCGCGCGGCCGCGCCGGGAGGCCTCCGGGATCTGCGGCCCCGCGCGCGGAGGCGGGCCGGCGCGAGCGGCCCATTTGACCAGCGGTTGGCGCGCCGCGCAGCTCTGTGCAGCGGTCCCCTAGGGGCCGGCCAGGCTGGCTGCAACGGCTGGGCAGTTCTAGCCCCGGGCACGGCCGGTTGCAGCACTTCCTCCTGCATGTTGTTTTCCAGTTACGTCTTCCAGACCTGACCAGAGGGTCACAGCTGAGGAAGAAGGTACCCTCAAGGAGAAAATATTCCCAACCACCGACCTACCCGTGTCCATTGACAAATAAAAAGCAGTCCGCGGGGAGGAGAAAAAAAGAAATCTAAGGTTTCAGTGTATTGGGCTGGGGGAAATAGGACTTGTTGATAGAGGGAATTATTGCTGTCTTGTTTTCCAATAATAATAGAGAAATATGCATCTGATTATGAGCTCTAGGGAAGGCAACGTAACCATTATGAGAACGGAAAAGTACAGTGGAACAAATTGTAACAAGGAAAAAATAGAATGCACTAGAACTTGTGCAAACCAGCAAAAACAAGAAAGAATCCAGTTGGATCAAAAGCAAAATTACAAACTGTCTAGAAGGCAATGAAAAGAACGCTTCATGGTAAAATCTATGGGACCCAGCAACAGCCATACTTGAAAATGTATAGCCTTAATTACCTCCCTAATTAACGAATACAGATATAAAAGAATTCAAAATTCACCTTAAGAAACCTTAAAAGCATAGTAAAATAAACCCAGAGAAGCAAGGAACAGTGACTCAATAAAGATAAAAACTAATTAATGAAACGGAAAAATTAAAAATAGTAGAAGGGATAAATTCAAATGCCGATGTCTTTGAAAAGAGAAATAAAGTAGAGAAACTTGTTTAGAGCCTGATTAAGAAAAAGAAATAAAAACTAACAAGGGTAGGAATGAGAAATAAAACATAATCACAGATTCAGAAGAGATTAAAAGAATTAAAGACTATTACATTCAACTTTATAGTAGCATATTTGAAAACCTAGATGAAATTTGAAAACCTAGATGATCTTCTAGCACAATATAAATTACCAAAATTGTGTGTACCAGCTAAATGTTTATAAAACAACCCTGACTCAGGGGTGGAAGATCTCAAGAGAGTGCTGCAGAGGAATTACATTTAGATGTAACACGAAGCACTGCTTTCAGGCAAACACTTCTAAATGGGAATCATTAAAATATGTAACTAGAAACCAGCCACGAAGTTTAATTTGAAATAAATGGATACTTTGCCCAAGCAAGATATGTTTAACCAGAGTTTTTTCTGCAATGTATAGTTTATGCTTATATCTAGAAGAGAAAGAAAAGCAAGAAAGAAAATTACACATACTCAGCTCTTGTAATGAGCATAGTTTTCAATGAAAAAAACTAGACAATTATAAACTTGGACATTCATTCAAGCTTTTATTGAACAAATATATATATATATAAACCTGGGTCTGGGTTGGAGGTGGGAGGATACACACACACAGTTCCCTGCTTTCAAAAAGCTCAACGTCTAGGTAGTTGGGAGTGTAAAGGAAGCAAGAGAACATCCATAAAAGATTGACAGTATAATAACGGCTTCCCGTGAACTGTGAGATCAGAGAAACGAAGGTTTGTTCATTCAAACAAATTGTTTCAGTGTTTGATTTTTTCTTACAATGAACAATGTGAAAAAAAAAATTGCCAAGGCATTTCCTTTTAAAGAATTGAGTGTGTGCCTGACAGAACTTGTCAGACATGTTACCCGTATTTAAAGAAAAAGTGTAAGTGGTAAGGACTCTAAAAGCTACAGGGGGTCAGAGGGCCTGAGATAGAAAACTGGACCTTAAAGAAGTTAGCACAATGCAATAGCTGTTTAGGGACAGTGATTAGACCAGACCCTGAACTTGAGGGTTTCATGAAGTGAGAGACCAATTTGTATGGGATCTGATGAGACAGCATATTAAATGCCAAGCTAAGAACTTTTACTTTAGGTAATGGGCAGCCATGGGCTCTTTTTTTTGGAGGAAGATTAGCCCTGAGCGAACATCATTGCCAATCCTCCTCTTTTTTTGTTTGTTTTTTTTTGCTGAGGAAGACTGGCCCTGGGCTAACATCCATGCCCATCTTCCTCTACTTTATATGGGATGCTGCCACAGCGTGGCTTGATAAGCGGTGCGTAGGTCTGTGCCTGGGATCCAAATCTGCAAACCCCGGGCCACTGAAGCAGAGCATGCGAACTCAACCACTACACCCTATTGGCTCTTTTTTTGAATGTGAGTTTACATGTGTTTGTGTGTGAGATGATGAAAGCAGTGTTTGAAGATAATCAAATAGTGGTGTATATGATGGATTAGAAAGGTGAACTGTTTCAAAGCTACTATAACAGCAATGGAAAACCAAGGCTTGGAGAAGCCTTACTGCACTTCACTCTCAGCATCTAAAGGTGCTGCCAGATCCGATCCAGAGATCCTTTATGCTAAGAGGAAAGAAAGTACATGGGGGTACAGTCTCCTTGATCACACATCCACAAAAATGGTCGTGGATACCTTTCACAGGTAATCAGGAGAAACCATTTTACCCAAGATTCTAATCAAACTCCAGAGACAGAGAAACCAGTCCTTCCAAACTTGCTGCCTGCTGTTCAAGGCCCTCTTACCACAGGCTTAACTCATGCCCCACCATACAAGACATGGTCATAATGTCACATCCTTTACCAGAAGTTTAGGTCTTCTAATCTCATCGACTTCAAAGTAGGGAGAAACTTCCTCCAAATCTTTATTTCATCAGAGATTCAGAAGCTAGAAGGAGAAATGATTTGCACTCTAGCTCCAGCCAAGGGACATCAACATATTTACCTGCTATGTTTTCAACATCCTCAACTGCTACATTCAAACCCATCCTGCTTCAGGGAAGAAATGGTTTGGAAGAAGGGAGCTAGATAAGGAGTAGATTTAGTAATCAATGTCACTAGTGTGCTTGGTAAAAGCAGATTTGATAGAGTGTTGGGAGAGGGACCTCAATGGGTTGAGGAAGAGACACAAAGAATTGAAGATGATGTGGCCAGCCCTGGTGGCCTAGTGGTTAAGTTCAGTGCACTCCACTTTAGTGGCCTGGGTTTGGTTCCCAGGGGTGGACCTACACTACTCATCTATCAGTGGCCATGCTGTGGTGCCAGCTCACATAGAAAATAGAGGCAAGATTGGCAAGAGATGTTAGCTCAGGGTGAATCTTCCTCAGCAAAAAAAAAAAAAAGAATTGGAGACGATGAATGCAGACAAGTCTCTAGATAAAAAATTGGCTATGAAGGGAGATGATATAAGCTAAAAATGGGGTCGAGGGAGGGTTCAATTTTGTTTGTTTTGTTTTTTAGGATGGAAGACACTTGAACATATTTTTTCACATTTGGGAAGGAGAAGTGAGTTGTGGAGAAGAGAGGTGAGGATATAGGAAAGAGATGGGGTAAGTGGATGGAGTGAGGTCCCAGAGGGAATGGGACAGGAAGCACAGATAGAAAGAGGAGTTCTTCTTTTGAGAAGGGAGCAAAGACGGAGGTGGATACAGTGTATGAGAGATGGCTGAGGGGTGAGGATGGGAGCAGAAAGTTGAAAATGTTTCTGTGTAAAGGTCTCTAATTTCTCTGTGAAGTAACAGATCAGATGCTAAGAAGGGGTGGTGGGTGGGTGGTTGGCTGTGTAAAGAGGGAGGGAAGGTATGAAGTGGTTATCAGAGACAACAGGAGAGAATGCTGACTAGAGATTGCATTAATGT